GAGATTCTTTTAATAAACATCACAATGACTGCAAAAAACATTGATAAAAAGTTGTTGTTCTAATAAAACATCACTACAATCCAACAATTTGGTAAGAAATTTAATAAGCGAGGAACCCAAAATAAAATGCTAAATAAAAGCAAAATAAAAAGCAGCACAAACGAAAATTGTTATGGCACAAACGAAGCACTAACGATTGAGACTATTTTGGGTGAATTTGGAGAGTGTTGGGGGGCTAGTGACGTCATTGCCTTTAATATCTAATATTTTAAAAACCAAAGCAGCACAAACTAAACTTCTACCTGCACAAACCAGCACAAACGAAGCACAAACAAACAAGACTATTTGGGGTGAATTTGGAGCATGTGGGGGGGCTGAGTGACCTCAGAAAAACAACATTAAATATTATTTTAATATCTTAAAAACCAAAGCAGCACAAATGATTTTTTTTACGGCACAAACCAGCACAAACAGATCACAAACAAACACAGGTATTTGGGGTAAATTTGGAGCGTGTGGGGGGATGGAACCTAAAATTCAATGTCTAATATTTTAAAAACTGAAGCAGCACAAACTAAAATTGTTACGGCACAAACGAAGCACTAACGAAGCACAAACAAACGAGACTATTTCGGGTGAATTTGGAGAATGTGGGGGGCTGAGTGACCTGAGAATGACCTTTTAAATAAATATTTTATATCTAACAAACCAAAGCAGCACAAACTAAAATTTTTACAGCACAAACAATTGAGAATATTTTTGCGACGTTTTGCGTTGGGTGGGGGGCCAACTTCATGGAGGTAACTTACAACTGTTACATATCAATTCACTTTAGTATCTCCATCTTACAGTCACTTTCAAGGTTTAAATGTTCTAATCAGAATGAGCTGCAACATATAAGCAAAAATAGTTTTGGAATGGTCTAATTAAAGTCCAGGCTTGGACCCCATTGCTGTAACAGGACATGAAACGTACAGTTTACACTGGAAAGCTGAGAAATGTTAAACTGGTTTTGTAAGGAGGAGAGGGACCAAACTGGCCAAAATTCCCTCACAGTGGTGTAAAACACTTAAAAACACCTACAGGAAGTGTTTTGTTGGGCCTTTTTTAGTAAAGTTGAAAGCTAAATCAAAGCAGATCCCTTAAAAAACACTACAATATATTAATCTTGTCGCATATTATCTTAAAGGGATAGTTCACCCAAAAATGAAAATTGTCATTAATTACTCAACCTCATGACGTTCCAAACCCGTAAGACCTTTGTTCATCTTTTGTTCAACAACTCTTCTCCCCCTCTTTTCCGTCTGCCGTGGCGTGCCACTATTGTGGAAAGTATCACGACGCATGCGCAGGGTTTCCTGTGCATGTAAACAATGCATGCACGTGCTGCTGCTTATGCTGAACATGCTTTGTGTACACGCAGAGCTAAGCTCACACATGCGTCGTGATACTCTCCACAATGGCAACATGCTACAGCAGACGGGATGAGGAGGAGAAAAGTTGTTGAATATTTTTATTTTTGTTTTCTTTGCGCACAAAAATATTCTCTTAGCTTCGTAAAATTATGGTTTAACCACTTATGTCACATGGACTGTTTTACCGATGTCTTCGCTGCGTTTCTGTGCCTGGGAACATTTCAGTTGTGCTGCTGTTTATGGACGATCTTGTATTTTATCAAAAATATCTTAATTTGTGTTCCAAAGATGAATGAAGGTCTTGTGGGTTTGGAACGACATGAGGGTGAGTAATTAATGACAGAATTTTCATTTTTGGGTGAACTACCCCTTTAAAATATATGATATCTACCAGATCTCATCCTCCTTTCTATGGCAGAATAAGCAGATATAACAGACTGATCTGAATTCTGACTCAACAGTAGTAGATATTTTAGTAGATATTTGAAGCAAAATATAAAAATGGTCTAGACTTCAAGTAAAATCCTGAACCCCAATACAGACTCTTTTATCAGAAAATGTAATGTCAAAATAATAATAGTCTGACAAAAGATCTACATTTTACCTTAAAATTTCCAATT